TTAACAACTTTCAGATTCACGTAATTTTTAAGTTTAAATTTAGTTTCCGTGTAATATTTACTCCTTAAGTTATAGTTTTTTATGTAAAAGAACTACAGAAGCCGTATAAAAATTAGTATGCTAACTAGTCACAATACTTGTTCACATGCAATATTGTGCATGGGGTTGCTCAGTAGTACCAGAACTATTGTGCATGGGGTTGCTCAGTAGTACGAGAACTATTGTGCATGGGGTTGCTCAGTAATATCAGAACTATTATGCTTGGGGTTGCTCAGAAGTACCAAAGCTATTGTGCTTGGGGTTGCAATAAGACGTTCAGATCACAAAAAGTTGAAAGTAACAAACCTTCACTTCCTGGAATTGTGAGAAATTGCCTAGCATCATATGTGAGCTCTCTCCAGCTTTGTACAGCGCTCTCTCTCCATTGAAGTATCTATTGAGCTGAGATACCAAAAATGAACATCACCCATAAGAACCCTCGGTAACTCAGTTCTTGGGATTAATTAAATTCTTCAGTACAGAAACCTTGACTTCTAGTCGTAAATCTTATGATATGATATATAAGAGTTGTTTCTCCTAGTTTTGAAAAAAAAAAAAGGTTCAATATGGGCCATGATGTATGGAAGTTAACCATTTGCCCGTTATTGTTTTGAGTTAGTTGTGTGGATTGTAGTGAGACGTTATGATATGTGGCTCATTCTGCACTCTGAGTATGGGATCTACGTATAAAATGTGCTCGCATTTATGCCAGGAATTTCAAAATATCCTAAACGAATATATTCCAAAGACTATGGAGGTGGTTATTGTTCAGTAGCTTTATGTGTTGATTCAATAAGGTAATGCTTCCTGTTACAAAGTATGGTCGACCCATATATTGTTCAAAGTAACAATATTAGCATCCTGGAAGGCTCATCCAGAACACATATCTTAACCCTAAAGAAGATCGGACGAGATTTGGATGGTATGATTCCAAAGGTTAGACAATGATCTTTCAGCTATCGTTGACTGCCGAGCATTAAAACCAGCAATGTAGACAATTTACAGAAAACGTTTTTGCTCTCGAACCACCTCGTTCTTTTTTGTTACTTCGCGGACAAAAATGGAATCCATATACTATGTTACCGCTTCCTTTCCGTAATTATGCAACCTTTCAGATTTATTTGGAAGGACAGTATATATTGAATCTACTGATATATTTAATTCAGCTAGAAATTAATAAAACCCTATAGCTACTCCACTGTAAGAACAGTTTCTATACTGTCCATAATATTTGGTAATATCTAGATTCCTAGTACTATGCTATTTTACCATTATTGATGGATAAGATATTTAAAATTTTCTTTGATTTGAAGGAATCTGACAAAGCAATCATCATTTTAAATATATTGTTAAAGTTTTGTATTACTTCTGTTGATAGTTTCTGTATTTATTTATTTTTCCAACTTCCTCATCAACCCAATTTTAGTTCACTGGACGAAGCTTCTACTTTTGTATTAGTAGGACGTCGATCTCGTGTAACGAAGGTTAATTTAAATGAAAGACATCTCTATTGTCATTGGTTAACTGTATTATCGCTTCTTTTATATAAATCATTTGCTACAAAAATTTAATCTCGGTTTCACTTTGAAACTACAATCCAAACAACTGTTTTCCTTTTGCGCGTATATCTTGAGGTACTGTTTGAAATGCAAATTGGATATTATAGTTAATGCCAAAATTGAAACAGAATAAAATAACACAGGCCTGCAATGGTTTTATTGTAATGAAATGTTTACATGTTCCACAGTAATTCCTGTACGCTGAATCCAAAAATGATATACATTTTCTCCATCACGTACAGATTTTTCATAAAACGTCATAACGCAATACATAAAAGAAGGACCACAACACGTAGTTTTGAGACTAAAAGACGTAGATATCACAAAACAATTACGATGAATATTTGTTTGACATCACCTTTCTTCCCTTTCCTTCAGTTTGTTTCCATTTTTGTTAACAAATATGATAATAAAAAAATGTTCATTGTGGTAAAAGAAATAATAATTTGATCTAAATAAAAGTTTTTTTCTTCCCGATTTGTAAAAAGTCCTTACATGAGAGGACAAGATGAATATTATTTTCGAAATCTGCGTGGCTGAATTATGGAAATTAAAACCAAAACAACTTTTATGAAGTTTAAATTCGCAGGCCTGTGTAATTTAAACAGATATAAGAAGTTCAATTTATGACATTAGTCGATACAACTCTATAATAACCGACATGTTTTTCTCGCAACACATTTCCATTTTGAAAATGCCCAAATTAATGGGCACTTCTTCAGCTCAGCAGGCTAACAAAGCCAAAACTGGGAAGGTAGTCCAAAGAGAAGACCCCGAAATTCATAATAACATTTACTGCCTTTGCCATCACAATTAATAATTTGCAGGGTGATACAGTTGAACAAGTAAGAATATGTCTTTGAGAATCAGTTTTTCACATGTTTCAATCTATAACGATTTATCAAGAAGAATATTTGAATAGAACTTAAAAATATACAGAGGTCAAAAGATGGGCAGGTTTTAAAACTATAGAAAAACCTTAACTGATTCTGAAAGCATGCCGTATTTCCATGAGCCACCGGCATGAGATGCTATATAGTCTGTTTTTGGAAAATTGAATATTTATAACAATAGAGTTATATTAGAATAAGCATGATGTTACTTAAGTAATAATAAAACCATAAAAAGTTTATTTAAAAGACTAATTAACGTAAGAGTTCCAATCTAACAAATTCCTTATAACACAATCATTAGGTGGGTTCTAGACATGTTTTTATAGTCATAATATGATTTACATTCAAATATACAAAGAGTCGTTTTCATGGATAGTTTGTATATTTTGTGGAATTATTATTATTTTGTATTATTTCTCTCAGACAAGTCATAAGCAAATTTGTTTAAGATTCGGAAAGTTTCGAACTGGAAAAGAGACACAGAATATTAAAACTAACTATATTTACTTAAATAAATCTCAGTATACGTATTTCTTTCAGCTATAAAACTTGTGCGAAAAGATGAACTTAAATACAAGTTTTCTATGTCCTGTGAACATTCAAGAATCATCTTTTAAAACATACTTTACTTCTGTAACATAATTATATAAACATGTATCTTATTATCATGTGCAGTGTTTTAAGAGCCCTTATTCAATAAATGACAGCAAACAGATGACAGTTTGCTGCGGGAAAGCTATATACGAAGATGAGCAGGTTGTGTAGCATATGTGATGCAATTCATCAGACATTTGTTACCTCGGCAAGTAAAGTGAAAATCGAATAACATTAAAAGTTGAATACAAAAAACAGACAATCCATTATATGTTTGGTAAAGGCGTGGCTAAAAGAAAGAAAATTGTCGTATGCTTTCCATTTATAAACATCTATAATAAATATTTCATATATATATCTTTAGTTGCTAGAGAGTTGTACTTAAAAGGTTGATTTCATGATTCGTTTAACAATATTCTTTAATGTTAATAACATTTCTTTAGCAGCAGTAAATAACGCCGCCTCTTTCGCTGTTATAAAAACAAATCAAATATTATCCCATATGCACAGGGCTATCACATTGTTGGTCTCGTCGTTGGTTATGATGATATGACATTAGAGCGAGCATTTGATTGGAGACAGTGCTATATTTCTAGTTTAAAAAAATTATCTGAATCTTTGAAACCGGATAAATATTGAAAATACGTCGTTTGTTTTGTCGACATGAATATGTCGTTCATCAGATGTGCGGTGTACAACTTATATATATATTCCTAAATCGAAATCTATAAGATGTAAACCAGTCAGCGCTAGGGGAACATAAACCAAATTCATATAATCTAGGGTTAAACCGTGTTTAATTAAGTAATGAACGTTAAGGCCTTAAAACTTTTAAATAAATCTTTCACTCAAATAATAAATTCGTTAATACATAAGTTTAGAAAGATTCAAGAGAGAAGTTATATAATTTTGTATCTTCAATCCATCTGCATTTAAGGAGAAAGAAAATTAGAATTGTATTTAGTTTATGTGTTTAAAATTTTGACCTGTTCTTTGCAACATATTCATCTTTTCTTTATTTTGTTGATTGAGATTAATATTTCACCTTTTTTTTCAAACTTTTTATCTTGAATAAGTTATATTTTCAAATATAGTGACCATTCTATTAGACTTAATAACAAATAAGACTACATTTATGGTACATTTTGATCATCAACTGAATATCAATAGTTTTAATTTCGTATAGAGCGGTGATGAAAGTTTGTTTGTTTGTTGGATGTTCGCACAAAGCTACACGAGAGCCATCTTTCCTAGCCATCCCTGACATTGAAGTGATATACTGGAGGGAAGGCAGCTAATCAACACCACCCATCGCTAACTCTTGGGCTACTCTTCTCAATAATGGGATTTGACAGTCACTCTAAGGGGTTATAAACCGCAGAACCTCCGGCACGCTAACACTTGGTCTCACTAGCCTACGATGGTCACAATTTCTTGGATAATCTTTGTTTTTCTAATCGTATATAGATTTCGCTATGAATGATTAAAATCATTTGATGGTTCAGAAAATAACATTCACAGTAAGTCCAATTGGTGGGACGATTAATTTGGTATTATATAGATTAATTTAAACTAATGTTTAAAAGTGTATTAATTAATTTGTTTTTAACCTTTTATATAGCTGTTAAAAATCGGAGGTAAGATAGACATGTCTCATGATAAAATAACAAATTAATGTAGTTTTAAAATAACTATTATTGAAGTTTATAATTAATGGACAGTTACGTCGCATTTGAGTACCGGAAAAATGTAAAAACATTAAAAAAACTAAAAAAAATCATAAATATTTCGTTCATCTATGTTCACCTTCCAGATTACCGAAAGCTAAAGAGTTGTGCTTTCGTAACTGTTAATTTATTTATTAACACATGTTTAAAAGTATGATAGGTAAAACTAAAGACTATTAAAAAATTACCTTTTTAGTCATCACAGAATTGTATCGTAACGGTAAAACTATACAGATGTATCGGTCTATGGCTATACAAACAAGGGATAACGTAGACTCGTGGAATAAAGCCGAGATAAGTAAAGCTTCTACGGCACACACAAATCCTCCAAAGGGCCAACAGCGGTACAGGGCAGGGTAGACACTCAAGGGAGTCACAAAAAGACCAACCGCAAGGTCCGTGCACGCCAAGGAGGTCATGAACATCCTGGGTTGTTGACGAAGGTATCGCGTGTGATTCCGGCTGTGCAGGACACTAATCATCAAGAGATTCAAAACAACTATGGCCACTGTTACCAGTGTTATCCATAAACATTTCAATATTTCCGTTGAACCCGGAGAATCAAGGTCTGCAGCACTCACAGGACACAGTTGGTTTATAACTAACAATTCGGATCGGTTATTCATACCTTGATCTTCCTTTATTTACTTCACAGGAGGTATGTATACTAAAGCATGAAACCTTGTATTCAACTAAATATCAAGAGAGAGAGAAGCAAACAAACTTATCTTATGTTTTTTGTTTTTTTTTCAGATTTTATTTATATTCGCACCTTAACCTGGAAAACCCTTTATATTTGACCCGTGGGTTCAAAACAGCATAGGTTTCTGGATCGCTGTTTGGACAAATTCCACAGCCACGTTGGGTTCAAACGGTATAAAGTACGGACCTCATATACCTTGTGGTCATATATGCTGTGCCTGTGATAGTTTCTATGGTAACTTAGATTTCTTGTTTAGGGAACGTCGTTGTGACGCAATGAATATGTTCACAGGAATTGCAGCACGCTGATTGGCTGTAGCTTCGGAACATGTATAATAAGAAAACCTATTCGTAGTGGGCTTACACTGTATAAGAAACTTCAGAAAAAAGCCACGCGAGGACCGTATGCCCATGCTGCGTTAGCGTCAAAGCTAACATCAAGCAGTACTTATCCCACAGAGCACCAGACCATAGATCGATTTATGATTTTTGCGAGAGCGTTTCTAGATAAATAAACTTTCAACCTCCAACCTGGTTTCCCTCTCAAACGATTTGGAAACATAAAACAAACGAAAAAGCTCTTCTGTTTTAAAATATTATGCTTATATTGAGATGTACCTGCGTTTTCATACACTCTCAGAGGATGACTTCCGTTGTTAATATTACATCCTTATTAACTTTGAAATGTAAAAGACACCGCTTTAAATCAACCTTTTTATTTGAATTTTCCCCCAAGGATAGCATATACTTAGCTAAATTGTATGTATATCTACATTATTTGCATGACATCCTGATGAGACTTAAAACTAGTTATCAGCCAGTCACGTACATAGACCCACCTACATACGTCAAGGGATTCTGCACGTTGCCTGTATAGTATTATCACTTACAATATACCTAAGCTGTCATATGCATTGAAATTAAAGCTTTGAAAATATTTTTATTACTATATTATGTTTATAAATAATGAGTAAAGTGAGGGGTAAAGTACGATGTTTCAGGTTTTGAATTGTCCGCAGAACTACTTCTTTCATTGTTGTAGTGCTTATTATGAATACCATAATTACGTGATTTTGCTCAACAGTGCAATTTTCAGTGTAACTATCTTCTAAGAAGAAAGGCAAAGTCAACCTGGGGGTACTCACCTTCACAACTTATCCACAAATCTTTAACTTCACGTGAACATCAGTTTCTAAGACCACATTTAAGCCCATTGGAGTTGCACTAGGATTTAACAGATATGTAATTGAATAGGATTGCTATGATTTCAATTTCTTGGGCCATCTTTCTCATGAAAACACCTTCAAGCTTGTGAATGTCTGGCTTATGATCCGTCCTCAACTTCATATCCTTGTTTATTATATTCGAAAACTATGAAATATGCTCAACTTCATTGTAATGATAATGACATTTTGGGTCGTAGGATTCGTTTTCACAATTTTAGGCTAAACCCTCCTTTGAGCGAGTTTTCTGTCTAAATGGAGAATATTGAAAACTACATTTTCCTAAGATCTCGTTATAAGAATATTCTTCCTAGGAAAAGGACGTGATGTACTTCTCCAGATATACGTCTACACATGGCAGAATTGCCCTCCGGAATAGTAGGTAATTACAGTGGACTATGGTACAATTACTTGCATTTGCAGCGAAACAACACTGCATTGCTATATATACAAGTCATTCTTATAATGTGCGATGAACCCTCTTTATAACAAATTTTTGATTTATTTCTTTGTAGGTACACACTTGTGTACTTAAAAAAATATCATTATATATAATAAATTTATATATCGAACTATATTAGGTAAATTACCAACCTCTTTGTGTATATTTGAAACATACGGAGTCGAATATACCAAAACGAAATAATTACATCATTTTTAAAAGTTTAACACATCACGTACTGCTCCTGTTCTATGTACTGTATACTTTTAAGTGCAATATCGGACAGGCATTAAGATGTGTTTGCTGGATACCTATTACAGGATATTCCAAAAAACAAATAAACATTTAGGTGGAAAGCAATATGACTTTTCATAACTATTAGAAATTTCACAAATATTAATTATGGGCATGAAAAGCACAACGTTAAGTGCTTTTTATTAAATCGATTATGAATATGCAGACCAACAAGTTATATGACAACCACGACCGATATAAAATCCCAGTAGAACGGCATGTATCAGAACGGTATTTAGCCATAGTTTGGCGTTCGTAAGTAGTGCGCTACTAAGGAAAATTGAGTGCTTTTGGAAAGGGAAAACAACATTCCTTTGTGAATCAAAATTTCCATACACTTAAATCATAAAGATATGTTCAGATTAGAGATTTATAATCTCCAAAATAGATATCCCTTGTACTTAATTGCTTTGAAAAACAAAGAAATATGGATCAATTTGGGGCAGGACTATCTAGAAAGAGACCTGCAACGGTTGTACCACATCCTTGATAAGTAGAGTGCGGCATCTTGTAACATGTAAGAACCCACGAACACAAAGATCAATGGTAAAAGTCTTCCTCGTGTCTCAGGCAAAGGTACAAAACATAATCAAGAAAGATATTCGTCTGGAAACGAGGCCAATAAGGTATGGGTTCACCAAGATAAGGCAACGTGTCATACTTCTTGTCCAACTGTTCCATACCTCAAGCAGTTAGAGAATGATATTGGTATTCATATTATTCCACACAAAAACATACTGGTCAAGTCACCAGATACAACTTCTGTGCATCTCTGTGAAGTCGGATTGTTGAAATTGGCTCTGGTAAAATGTCGTCAACATACACTATGCAGATTATGGAAAAGTTGCACGGAAAAAATGGTGTGCTTTGGACACGACATCGTTACAACGAAGCCTTCTGTAATAGAAACTATGTTGCAGGGCTATAATCAAGATTCAAGGTCATCAGATAGAGCATGGTCGGTCGTAGCAACGTGGACGTAAGAACGTTATGAAGCTTTAAAATAGTTTTACTATAACGCATAAAACCACTGTATCATGTAATGTTTCTGAAAAGCTAACATCGGTAGAAGTAAATGCTTGTATTTGAAAATCATGGAAATAATACTTCAGGTTTAGAAAATATAACACTCACAGTACTTACGTAGACTATAGAGAATGATTTGATTAACTACATTTTGAAAAACATCTGGGCTTTGTGCTACTCCATTTGAAAATATTGGTTCCGGAAAAGATGTATAACTGAATATTACTATTCCAGTCATGAATAATAATGCACATATATATATGGTTTGTCGGTGTGACGTTAAGCAACATTCTCGAATGCTGAAAACAATTGTTATGACGATTTTATTGTAGTTTAGAGTAAACTTCTCCGTACATACTAACTGTAATGCAGTGAAACTAGTTTTACGGGCGCGTTATAACGCATTTGAGGCCACTAGTTATTTTATCTTTTTACCAGGAGCCTAAACTTTACCAAAATATCAAAGTTTCTTTTATTTACAACCTAAGCTTTTACCAAAACTTGAAAAGAAGTGCTGTAAATTGATTATTTTGCATATTTTGAAGTTAAAAATGAATCCTGTTTGGCTCATAAAGTCATGGTTTCACTCTTTTAAATGTACTCTGTGTTGATAAGTCTTAAATCCATAAAGAGCACATAATACTTTAATGAAATCATTTAAAAGGATTTAGACACTTCACATATTATTTTCTTTCATTCAGTCCAGTGTTTATTATATAATTAATATAAATTACGCTCTGATGAAACAATATTAAAAACAACGTACACATTAAAGGTATAGCTTTTAATATGTCTCCGCAGTGATACATATTGTTTTTCTATTTTATTGTTTTTTCTTCTTCTTCCAAACATTTTTCAATCCACCGCCATTTCTTCATTTCTGGGTACCGGATTGACTTGAAACTTGCTAGGGTTATATCTTGGTCCAATATACTCAAAACCCTTTTTATTTTTGGATTTAGGCCTTTGTTAAGGATTTTATTGGGCCAAAGAACTCCAAAATGTATATTTTGGACTCCTGTGCGGTCATATTTACAGCAATCAAGATACAAGTTGGCACAAAAATAAATTTCATGCGCCCAACACATTGATATACAAAAAAAGTTAGGTTTGCCCATTTTGAGTCTTTTTTTGTTGTTGTTGTTTTAGGAGTGTCAGAGCTCACAACAAAGTATAATTTTGGGTTGTTTGTTTTTACAATTACTCTGCGTATTTCGGCCAATTTACATGGGATTTGGTGCAAAGATACTTTTTAAAGGTCCCATACACATACATACAAAAACGTGGGATATGCACATTTTTGGTCATTTTAGGGGGATCAAAAGTTTAAATAAACTTACAATTTTAGGAATTTTTGTCAATTAACTACTTAATCATTGTTTTGAGCGAAACTTGTTTTATAATAACATATGTATCGTTTGATGACATGAACCTGCGTTTTTATAAGTTTAAATTATTGGAATAAAAAACCTAAACGTATATAAAATAATTACCAAAGAAAGAAAATGATAATGATTTTATTTACTGGCACCAATATATATTGGTACTAGTCATAATACATTGGACAACGTTTTTTTTAAAATCTCAGCTTATAAGAGATCCATTGTGTTTTAGATGCAGAATACATATTCATTTGAATGTGTGTGTGTTTTTTATAGCGAAGTCACAGTGGGCTATCTGCTGTGTCCACTAAGGGTGAATCGAACCCTTGATTTTAGCGTTGTAAATCCGTAGACTTACCGCTGTCCCACCGGAGGACTATTTATTTGAGCAAGATTAAAAACTTTCTTCACTAGACTAAAATTTGTTTGAGACAAAAGATTTATGATAAGTTCACTATTTCAATATATCTCAATGGTTTTTATCTAATTGTCAAAGAGTGAAGAGCACTGGTTATAATATCACACAGGAAAACCCCTTGAAATGTTTATTACACACGAAAACAAACCGAACTACAGGTCCTATCCTTCAATGAAACTTCATGGAGCAGAATTTCATGTCGGTTATATTATTACTATCAGATGTAGATCATTCAGTTGCTAGCAGACCAGGCATATTTTTTAAAGCATGTATCTTCTGTAAGAAACAAAAACAAAGTAACGTGAGATGCACGATTAAATAGTAAATATGAAAATTTCGAAACAAAAAAAGATAAAAGACGCAGCACAATGACGGATAATCACGAAATCATAAAAATAGACAGTAAAGATTCAACATAATCATTCCTTGCCGAAACCAATACCGTAATAGAGGTGAAATATGTGACAAAAAGAAAGCCTGAATTCAGAAAACATTCCTAACTATAAACACATGAAGAATGTGCAGTTCTTTCCTTTCAATTAAGAGCTTTAAAATTCCTGTAACATCACAAATGATATCATCTGTCTACTTGGAATCTGCCTCAAGATGCTATCATAATGAACGTGAACCTTCTTATAGAAGAACAGTCGTGAATTTTGTTTCACACTTTCATTAATTAGTGTGAATGACGTCCTCATTTGTGTAGTTCGGCTGGTTTCCAAGAGAAGCAATAATTTCTAGCACTTTTCCCACGACTTTAGTACCATTGTTCTTCACTCTTATTTCAATCGCTGCAAGATAAACAGTAATTTATCAGGACTATGTAAACCAATTCCAGACACGCATTTGTTTCTTCATTTTGTTAAATTTCGCGCAAAATTTCTCAAGGTCTATTTGCGTTAGATATCTCTAATTTTGAGGTTGTAGGCAAGAGGGAAAGCAGCTGGTCAATACCACTCACCGCCAAATCTTTTCAGACCGTTAACTCTTATAACCCACCGCTCTAACGTACAGAACGCGATTTTTTGTTTATTTCTATTCATTTATTTTATGGTGGTAACAGTGGCTTCAGATCATGAGGAAAATGTTTAATCTTGTTCAAATAAATACATAATGTGCATTTGGAACACATCCATTACAAGTCACCATTAAAAAGTAATTTGACTATAGCATTATCACTGAATCAATATAAAGGTGCCATTAAGTAAAATACAGTTGTCTCCTCGATAACCACTTTATATGTGTTTAGCTCTTTTATTTCAATAATTACAAATTGTGAAAACGCATGTACATGTTGTCGAGTGATAAGTATGTTATTATATACCACATTTGGCTGGAATCAATGCTTAATTTTAATATTTTTATTCGCTTATAAAGAAATAAGAAATAACGAAAAACATCACACGACGATATCAAAATCACTTTTCTTCTAAATTTCGAGTTCCGGTCACGGTAACATTTTATTAATTAATGAAGAAACTATGACCTTCATGCGCATAAAGTGAACACATTTTCAATTACTGGTACATTTTTTACTATCAGATCTTTCGGCTTCAGAAAGAGGAATGGCTGCTATTAGCTTGGAACTACTTGGTGAAAGTGGTCTAGAATTACTAACATTAGAGTTGGCCAAGTTATATTTGAACTTAGAATCTACAGAAGCAAACAAATTCTTGTGATATTAGAGAATATTCAAAGAAAATCAATATTCATTATATAACATGCAAGTAAATAATTTGATCAAATGTTCTTGTTATTTAACAACTTGAGCATTTCAAAGTATCGTGATGTACTGAAGTAAGTTTTCTCCCCAATAAGGCTCCCTGAATGGTATAATAAGATGGTTGTCTCTAATCTTTAGTTCAAATGTTAAGTTGCTATCGTAGAATGTTAAATTAATAAGCACAAGAAATGTAATAAACATCATTAATATACATGGAAAATAATTAGTGTTAAAAATATCCGAGTAATTTTTGAAGTTAATCATAAAAAAAGAAAACCAAAAAATTAGTATAATTTATTTCAGGCCAATTTTAGATGGCTTTTATTTGATTACTTTTAAAATTTTTAACATCTCCTCTTCTGCTAAAGCTTTAAAAATAACTTATCCTTCCAGCAGGGACTTATATTATGTAAGTATTAAATGTCTAAACAACTGGTCTTCGTTTCTAGCAACTTAAGGTTTTTTACTTCAGTAACAACTTTGAAAATTGTGAATATTTCCTTACTGTTCATAATTCGCAACTAGTTATGAGATGTTTTTTTCTCGTTTAAGTGAGTTAAGTCTTATCCTAAGTTATGTTATAATATCAGGCTAAACTACGGACATAGTTCAGGAACAGGCAGTTTAAACCAAGTGCATCAGTTTCCATTGTAAATTTAAACCATTCTTGGTACAATCTGATATTGTAGTAAACTATCAAGTAATCTATCCTTTTAAAATTTATAAAAATAACCCCAATAATTAATAACCTTCACCGTTACTTTTTCACTAATATTTAGTTTAAGTTTGGTGAAGCTACTTTATTGTTCCAAACAATAACACAAAGTTTTTAACATGCACATACATTTCAAAAAATTCGATTAGGAAATTAGTTATATCAATCAACATTAATATATATATATACACATATACAGACATTTCGGATGTGCATATAGTATGTTTCTTACTGTTTTTTTGTTAATTCGTACATAGTAAATGTTGCCTAGTATTTTTAGTTATAACTACACATTTACACAAAACAGCAAATGTAACTATGGTAATAATACAAGAAAGAAAATGGTAGACCAAAAATACAATAACAGCAACATTTCGAATATAAAACTACTTGAAAATTTTGATATACTGGCTCCTCCAACATTTTAATTCACGACTTACTCTTTTTAAGCATTTTCTTATATTACAAAGTAATGTATACATGTTAGAATATAGCTGTGAAATCAGTAAACATTTGATCACAGAATAATTCTCTTTATAAATATTTCTAGTTGGTCTTTAGATATTTATTGTTAATAGTTGATAAGATTAAGTTTTTCTAGTATTATAAGTTGACAATCTTAAAAGTTACAAATCGTTTTTAATTCAGCGCCAGCAAATTAATAATAATATTATGTTATTTACTATGTTCAACACATTTATGATTGAAATTTACAATCAGTTTTATGTAAACAGATGAAACATTTATTTTTTCCCGATATACATGGGATGGACCACACTAACCCCCACCCCAAATAAGGGGAAACAAAATTACAAGTAAAACAACAAACCTTTCTTCATAAGCTGTATCTGTATAATCGCTGAATCTAATATTAGAAACATTCAGTGTGTACACCATTGTTTGCAGTGAATGAGTGACATAAAAATAGTTATAAGATGTCACATATGAAGTACATCATAATTAATATCTTAATTGGGGGGGAGGGGATCTTTGTTGCCCATCCTGCATCTACTTACACAATACTATTGTTGAAGCATTTGTACACCTCAAAATTAATTAATTGAAGTTTAACAAAAAACACAAAAATCTCACCAAGATATTCAACTAACATGTGAGCATTAGTTAGACAAATGAAAGCACATACACTACAAAGACTACTTATTTCTTAACACTTCTTCTATATATATATATACCATTGAATAATGGTTTTACACAAATGAAGAAATAGAAAAATTAGAAGCTTATAAACTGACTAGTTATAATCAGATCTCTCTCATTAGTATTTATTCTGTTTTATATATAAATATAACAATATCATAAGGCACTGTATAAAAGCAACTAATTCAGTGCTTTCAAATGATTGCTATTGATCATACACCATGTAAATTCACTGAATTATTGAAGAAAACTCATCAACATGCCAAAAACATTTCATTCAAAATTCTTGAAAACAAAAAAATTCTCGATGCTGCATCATAGTCACACACAGGCACCTTTTATGTTAATATTTATCAATCAGTTGCATAAAAACAAGACATAAAAAAAAAAACATTTTTATGACCCAACCACATTTTTAGATGTATTGAATAATGTTCTACTTTCATTTTGATTTATTTTATAACTAAGGTATTTTAGTTCCACAAGTATATCTACACCTGCATTGTAAAGCAGCATTATATGAAGGAAACACTGTTAATGAACTAGACATTCTTCAGAATAAGTAACTGACAAGGACAGAGCTAAATTCACAGGTTAGTAAAAAAATTATGTAATTAGGTCAAACTGTTACTTTTCTTATAGCACAAAAAATTTGAAATCATAAAACACAAATGCATACAGAAACATTTGTTATTAATGATTAATATTTCTTTTATATAATTTATCAAGGCAGATAAAAATGTCACTAACAAATCTCCTACTTTATATTTTTGAATGTTCTGAGTAATATTTAAACAAATTCAATATGAAAGTATTTCATAAACCTAAATTTGAGTAAAATAATAGTGTTACACCAGTATTTATTCAAGTTCTAAAGTTTCCCAAAGTTTGGGCTTTTGAATAGTCACTTTAAACTCTCATTAACAATCTTAAAACTTTTACCTGAAACACACAGATTTTAATAATCTACAAAAAACACAAATGCAAAATAATTTTTTACTTAAACTCTCATTTATAGAAGTGTCATTTAAATGTTACATTCGTCAACTCAAACAACAATTTTAAGAAACTAAAAGTCAAAATGTTTTACATAAAACAATCCCTTGATCAAGAAAATCACAGATCTTGCTTCACTTGGCTCTTAAAACAAAACAAAAATGTAGAAATAAATACAAAATGTGTTTATTTTAATTATTGCTCACTGAGAAAACACTCCTTGTGGTTTTCTAAATTTAAGTTATGCATGAACAATGTATTTCTCTATTATATATGTCATCAAAACACAGTAAAACAAACTCATTATTTCTTTACAAATCAAATAGTTATAAAATGATAGAAAAGGATTTAGAATTCTTTGATATTACAAAAGAAAAATTGTAATCTTCATATAAATAGCTTATTATTGATCCCTTAATTTATTTCTGTACTTTCTTCATCATTGCTTAAAGAAAATATTACAATGCATAAAATAAATAACATATTTCTTATTACTGTCAATACATAACTGGTATTTACTAGAACACCATACTATAAATCATGTGAGAAAACAACCTTTTGTATGTTTTCTGTCACTTAAAAGTTTTTCCATATAAAAACAATTTTTTGCATTGTAGACACTCTTTCTTCAAATCATTCTTAGTTGAGTTTACATCTGATATCAAAAGTTTTCATACTTCTTTAATAAAAAAAATAATTAAATAATTGTTCCCCTGAAAATTAAGAAACAACTTTAGTTTTGTTTCCCAAAATCTGTAAGTTACTTTAGTTACATTAAGAGTTCTAGAGTCACATTACATTTATGATTTTCCCAATGTAACATTGAGACAAGTCTTCCCTGCTGGCTCTCCTCTAGCTGTAAGCAGAATGGGTTCTTTTTGATGATATGAAATCAACTCTGCAACAGTTGAGAAAGTCTGAAAATATTTAAATATTCTGACTGTGACAAAATTTATTGTAGTTTAGCACATATTTATATCTTCTAGATTACAAACCACTATCTGCTATGAATCTTAGGTGTGCATTCCTTTATAAAAACTACAATTGTAGTAAGCATCTCAAAAAATTAGCTATATTTTTCTTAATGCTTGTATTATTCTCAACTTGGGATAATATTCAAGAGCAAATTGTTCTGAAGATATTTATTTTGATAAAGTAAGACCTGTTAAAGAAGCTCAGATAAGTGTAGAGATAAGGTACAAAGACTACACTATGATATTAGTGTGTGTCAAATAAAAAATAAACTCGTATTAAGACCACTTTATACTACAATGCCAAATCCAGGTGCTTTTGTTGGGTCAATATTCAGTCCTATTCCTAAAGCAAAATTTATCAAAAATTTCTCAGTTTTATTTTTATTCAAAAAGAGTACATCTCAACATCCACTTTTGAAATGAAATGATGAGAAAACAAGCATGAATAATGTTGAGGACTGAGCTGCAAAATAATTAGCGTGTAAGCATTTTTGTTATCATTGACATGATTTGTTTTTAGCCTTTAAAAAAATTTGACTTGAAATGTTATGTAATGAAATTGAATTGTTACTGTGTTGATGTGTGGGTTGTCAATTAGACTATTAAACATTCCAATTGTTTGTAAATAATGCATATCTTAGAAATAAATTTCAGAATATAAGAAAAAAGTTAAAGTACCCATGATTATGATACTCAGTTGCAGTGGCATGTTTACCAGGGTAGTGTGTTGGGCAGCATTCCATTGGAGAACTCTGTCACCCTGCAACTCGTCCATATGAGATATCAGGATTTAGTCTCTTAAGATTGTTAAATTCTACCTAGACCGTGACTCCCATTGACTTGAAAAAGAGTTAATTTCTTTTGGATAGATGGGATAGTCATACTATGTAACTTGAACAAAAAGATGCATCTATAATAAGGGTGCAACTTGGGGTGGAGGTTTTAATGATAGTTTATAATAATACCTGATGGCTATAAGATTGTGCAAAGAAAGCCCAAGATAATTTAGGTTTTTATGGTAATTAAAAAGAAAAATAGACACTTCTTAAAGGCAAAAAAATCCCATTTTTATATAGTGTCAAAGAGGCAGCATGGTTTCACTAAAGAAAACTCTTGTTTAACAAATCTTCTGATATTCTTTGAGGATATTTCTGCAAGAATTGATGACGGAAATACTGTGGATTTGGTTTATCTTGATTTTCAGAAAACATTTGATAAGGTGCCTCACAAAAAGACATGTTACAAAAATTAAATCTGTGGGTGTTGGGGAAATGTTATTAAATTGGATAGAAAATTGGCTGGAGAGTAGAAAGCAGAGAGCAGTAATATATGGAGTTAGATATGACTGGATCACAGTTACAAGCGGTGTGCCTCAGGGATCTGTGCTGGATCCTCTGCTGTTTGTGATTTATGACTAACAAAATTTTGAAGTTTGCAGATGACATTAAGATTTTTGGGATGGCTAACTATATCAAAGATGCTGCAGAATTACA